TTCTCACATATTTTTTAGTTAAATAATTTTTGTAATTGCTTTTCCTACATCAAACCTTTGTTAGAAGCTTCATTGTTGTACTTTTTTTAGAGTGATTTACAGTGCCGAAAGGTATCCTCATTATTTTTATTCATCTATTGATATAATGGTCATTGGTTAGTGGTTTTTAGTGATTGAATGCGACGTCATTTTACATTCTATTTTTACGAAGTAGTTGAGAGAAAATTGAAAAGATTTTTGTATTAGTCTTTCTCAATATGGTCTTAATGTTGTGCGGATTTCTACCTTAAGCTCTCCGTATTTTTTTCGCGTCGTATGCTGTATCCCCTGGATTTAAGTCCAAAATCACATTGCTCACATCATCTGGAAAATTTCTTGATTGAAATGTACGGGAAAACGTCTTATTTTATCTAGCGTGTCTGGAGCCTTGTTCCTCGCAGTTATTTTTCGTTAAAAAGGGAGGGATTAATTAAGATGCGTTACAATGTATGTGGTGTTATAGAAATTACATTATTAGCAAGCAGGAATTCTGCTTTAAGGTTTTTACAAAAAATTACTGCGGCAAAGAATAGTTGCTAAATAACTTACGGTTTGCCATGCTTTTTTTTTTTTTTTTTTGCTTTCTTTGGCATTTTGGGTACTTGACGCCTAACTTCTTTCGTTAAAAGCGCTAATCTTTGTTGGAATTGAATCACACTTTACGATTTTTGCAGAATTGACAAAAATAATCGAATCATTTATTCATTGTTGGCATTACTACTGAAGAGACAGGAGAAAATAGCAGAGAGAAAGATGACCTTTTCTTTTTCTTTCGACCTTTCAATATCAGAAGATATGCGAAGAATTTATGCGAGACAGAAAGTTGTCATTTTTAATGGAGGGACTGAATGGTTTTTGGATGGGTTCTTGTTATAAATGACTGTGTGTACAGTTTAACATCTTTTGTGTTATTCACTCAGACCGATATTCCAAACTGATCAGTTACTTTGATAGTTTATTCTTTAGATATTTTTTAAAAAATGTTTAGTATAGAGTCACCTTTAACGTAAGAGTGGGAAGAAATTAATTGAGGAAGTGGTTATGTTGTAAAGTCTGCGTCGGTTCGATATTATGAAACTGCTCTGTGGAATGTTTTTTTGAGCCGTGGTGATAAATTCTTATACACTGCACTTAATATTACAGTTTTATTTTTATTCTAGTTGTTTAAATATGTAAAATAGGGAAATGGTGATAAGTTGTTTTGCATATGTTTACTAGTGACTAAACGTTAGCTGGTTTAAATGTTTACTAGTAGCAGCAGCAACTTAGCGAAGAAAGGGAGGTAAAACAGGGCAAGATGGAGCAAGTGCTTTTCTTAAGTTATTATTTTTTTCTTTTTGAGTTCCTTTTAGTTGCTGGAGAGAGAGAGAGAGAGAGAGAGAGAGCATTCGTTAAGAAATGTAAGGCGTTGCGTATTTATTTATTTAAAAAAAAAAAAAAAGTAGAGAGAAAATTGTATAGTGGCGGCAGAATGGATAGAAGCTGTGTGCGTATGGTCTTTGTTTGTGTGCGGGCTTGTGTGTGTGTGTGTGTGT